TATTATGATTTCTATTTGGTTTAATAGAATACAAAAGAGAAAGTGTGACGCAGGTACCCTTAGGTAAACAGGTATATTTTTATATTTTAATGATAACCAGGGTTGCCAGACCGGTTATTGACATTAAAAATCCCCCTAAAATTCTCAAAATAAATAATGAACAATTTAAAATACAATATTTATTTAAACCAAAAGTTTGTAAAAAATGGTTCCCCAAAAATATTAATAATTTAATAAAAAAAATCTAAAAAATTAAATAAACGTTGACGCAAGAATAATATTTATATTTACAGTAAAAAATAACAAATATTTTGATATTAATAATAAAAATAAATCTTAATATGTCAGATTAAATACTTCACAAAATACCACTGGAAAAAGTTATCTTCAATTAATTCATTAATTAATTAAATCCCCCAAATTTGGAAGAAAATCCCCCTATATGGCAACTCTGATCAAAAATTTTCAGAAATTTTTGATTTACATTAGTAATTATAATATTTGTAATACTTTTTTATATTTATTATTAAATTTGCTGTCCCTCTACAAGATTGTGAGCTAAATTACTGGTATTTTTGAAAAAAGGGTGTGTAAGGCTGACAAGAGTAGCTTGATATGTATTATTCATCTAATTTTTTTTTATAGGATTCTATTGAAACAAAAAAAAATATTTTTGCATTGGAAAAATCGAGTATTACCAAAGTTATTGAACGTATTTAAAATTATAACACGCCTAGGAATATTTTGCAATATTTTGGTAAGCTTAGGAGAGTATTTTTAACATATCTTATACTGGGTGTTCGTGATTGTGAATATAGTTGACGAGACATCTCTCACCGAGAACGACGCTTTATTTTAATTTTTCTACTAACACGAGCCAACAACAAAACACAATATAAGTCTGATTATTATTGTTGGTTAAATAAATAAATAGTACAATGCATACCAGGCGATTGCATTAAAATATGCAACAAAAAAATACTTTATTTGATACACATATAACAATTGTGGACTTAAATCGCCCGGTGTGTTTAATATGGTCGTTTTTTGGCGGCTGCGATTAATTTTTTATTACTAATTAAATCTTTACTCTGTTTTTCGTACTATACTGATAGTATTTATTTATAAACTGCTGTTCAAATTTATCGCAATACTCGGAAAGTATCTTTTATGAATTCTAAAAGTGATCCACAATAATATATAACGAGTGTTTTACAGGAAAAATTAGTAGGCACGATTATGAAACTAAGCAACATATCTGATTTTTTCCATGGATTACTTTAGAAACATTTAGTTTTAATTTAGAGACGTGCGTAGCATGATTAGCATCGATGGTTACAGGCATCTTTGAAGATCCTGTATTAAACAAAGTTGATAATATGAAAACAATGATTTGTTTTCTTTTTTTATTGCTTCTTGGTATCTCTATCCCGCCTTTTGTTTTTGTCTCCGTTGAAACCAAAATCGAAACACCCCTACCAATGATATTGAATGACATTGGTGGGCACATAATAAAGGTTTCTGTCAAAATAAAACGCTAGAGCGACACAATGGAAGTCTGGTGGTGAACCAAAATGAACGAGGTTGTCACACGAGGGCAAGATAGTCGTCTCATAAATCCAGGGGGGATTTTTTCGCCATGGCTTTTAAAAAACCCCTGTGAATCACTACAAAACCGCCAAAAGTGGTTACAATATAATCATTTTAATAAAAAAAAGAGTCCAAATGCGAAAATTTTTAACAGCAGTATATGATAAATATTATAATTTTTCTCAGGAAAGTGGTTACCAAAAAATTTGTATATATAACCGATTTATTAAAACTATATTGAAGGGCAAGGAAAAAAAACCAACGATGTTCATTTTATAGGAATTTTTAAGTGATACCGAGGCCCAAACACATGCTAAATTGTGAGCAAATAAAACAGACTAGGTCTGAATAATTAGGCATTTAAAAATAATCATAATTGTTAAAAATGGCGTTGTCCGCGCATTACTGCTAAAAAACGACGTTATCCAGTCTAAATAAGTTCATCAAATTTCTAGAGGCTTTCGACGGCTAGACAGAGAAAGCACTACTGACAGGCATCCCGACGGATTTACGCAATGAAAGTACACTCTGCGCATCAAGTATTTCACTATTTCATTCAGACGTAAATTTCGCTAAAACATTTCTTTTATTTTCGTTTGTGTTTTTTGCTCATTACAGTTTAATAGAACCTAAGTATGGAGTTTAATAGCAAATTAAGAGGCCGCGTGATTAACAGTCAATCTCGCGAAATAATAGCCAATGTTATAGAGTTTATGAGAAGAGAAGGAAACTTTAATTCACCTTCAATACCATTTAAAAATGTAAATGATCGTGTTGCTGCAGCCACAGGAGTATCTAAAAACACTGTCGTCCGCATTTCTGGAGAGAAAAAAAGAATCGATAACCGTGAGATATCGGAATTTTCATCACCAAGAAAAACCATTAAAAAACCAAAAACAGTTAATGATATAGATGAAGCTGCACAAGAATCAAATTTTATTTTTTTATTATTAGATAGCTATTTTTGTTGTGTTCATTTACAGGCTCAATTTTTTTCCGTTTCTCCTTTTTGATTTTATATGGGGTTTCAAGTTGTTTTTGATTTATTTCGACGTAAATCACAACAACACACTTTTTTAATAAAGCAAACAAGTGTTAAGAGGTATATGTACGTGTAAACTACAATTACAAAAAATTGATATGAAACCCATGAAACCACCAACAAAAATGTAAAGCTAGCTTCCGTACTAGAACATGGTGTCATTCGTCGAGATAATTTATCGTTTTGTTTAATAGATCAAGAAATGTAAATATTCCCGTTATTTTTTATAAAATTATAAGAGAAATACATTTTTTTCTAAATAGTATAGTTTATTTTGTAGAAAAACAAAATTTCGAAAATTTTAGTAATGTTTCTGAAACAACCGTTATTAATAATAGGTACCATTTTCCTTAATAAGGTAGAAATAAAATATAAACTATTTCCACGATTTACAAAGGCCTACAAAAAAATTATAGGTATTTTCCGCTATCCTATAAAATTTATATTTTCTGACTCAATTTCAAAAGGTTGAAGGAATTCCAAAACACCTTTTATGGCATAATAATTATTTTCAATTCTACATACTATCTTTAGCTGCTTTTAAAAACGTTCTAAGAAAGTCCAATCAGACCAATTTAATCCCTAAACTATTCCACACTTTTAAAATTTAATTACCTAAAAATATTAAAAACTATTTAAAATAACTTGTTTAGCAGACTGTACAATAGCTATCTTAGTCACACGTAGCGCGTTCTCTGTCTGGGCGTCGAACACCTCTAGAAATTTGATAAACTGTACAAGTCTAAAACCTTTTTTATCACCCAAATAATAACGAATTTTATGAAAATATTTTTATTTAAAGATAGTTTTAAAATCATTCCTTTTTAACAAGTTATTTGTTACGTTAATTTTTTTACCTGAATATAATAATCTTACGTTTAAATTCTTTTGTAACAAGTTAACTTACAGAAATAAATATTAACGTACAGTTTTTTTATTTCTGTAACTGTAACATAAGATTTGGCAATAATATTAATTATAAAGTCAGTTTTGTGACATCATCTGTTTTTTCACCTTACCCTTTATATGTTTTCTATTCATGTAAATATCGCCCATGCAATGGTTCTTATGTATATTTCAAATAAAGATAGTTCAAGAGTCATTCCATCAGTTGTGTTTGATTTTAAATTGCTTCTTAATTATTAAAACACGGCGTTCCATAGGGATCAGGTTTGGAACCATTTTATTTTACATTTCAGGAATATTTACATTACATAAACATGAAATATTACCAGTCTTTTTTTATAGATACTTTTCTTGATGTATTTTTAAAACTGTACTAAAATATTCCATAAATTTTTCAATTTTAACATCATATTAACATCCCTACAACCAAAGTTTCATGTACACAGCAATACTTGAATTAGTAGTTATATAATATATTCCAAAAGAGTAACAGACTATACTTTTTCTAACAGAAAGTGAGAAGAATAATCCCAGTGTGGACGGAAGAGAAAAGCTACTGATGAAAAAAATGCACTTCATGTTGTTCTAAGTGAGTAATGAAAGGAGGACTTTAAAAGTAAATAAATGTTATACCTATAAACTGCAATAACAAAGACTTAAATGAAGATAACCCAGATAGGCAAAAGCAATTCTAATAGAAAATTATGGAAATATATTGATGAATAACTTGTTTTTTCAGACGAATCAACATTTTGTCTCAATAGATATAATGGTTGATATTAGTTCATCCTCTAAACATTTACAGAGGTAATACAATAGGTTGTAGAGATGGGACTTTTCATAAAAAGTAATTTTTAGACTAGTCCGACGCATATGTCCGGAAAAATAATGAAAAGTAGTCCACCTTGAGCATAGAAGACACAGCTAAATCTCCATCCTGGATGTTTTTTGGGAACAATACTTGCTTTTGTATATTCCTTTTTTTAGGCAAATCATTTGTAAAATACTTCCAACCTTTGGATTTCTTGGTAATTTTTTCGCGAGTTTATTTTAATAAGATATGAAACGAAAATTCGATAACATTGTTAAAACATTATAAAAGACAGTAAACATTTAGCGTTTCTTCTTTTTTAAACTAAATTTTGCCTTTGTAAGAAATTCAAACAAATTATTTAATTTCATGCATGCCCAATACACTTTTCTACTTTTGAAAAGTGTGTTTGGACTAGTCAACTTTTCAGACTTGTCCCTGGACTTTTCAAAGCTAATAGGTTGTACAAAATAACTGAAAATAACCTGTAATAACTAGACAGGAAAGTCATCATTTTTTAGCTTTATTAATTAATAATCTGAGCAATTTTTGCCAAGAAACCAAAAATTATTGTCCTGAAATAGAAGTGAATTGAAATTAAGACTTTATTAGATTGTTATTTTTATTCACTGGATAAAATAATATATATTACCTGGCAAATTTTCTAAAGAAAATCTTTAGCTCATAAAAACTACAGCCAAACTTGTTTTTTTTATTAAAAAATACATACACCTATATAAGTATTATCTATAACAAAAAAAAATTATAATTTTGTAATTAATTGTGTAACAAATAAACTCTTAAAAGACGTAACTTCAAATCAATTTTTATTAACTGCACAGTGATATCTGCTCGAATTAGAAAAAAAGAAGAAAAAAAAAAGGTAAAGTAGCTACCTTTTTTTATAAAGGATCCCCATTGTCTTTTGTTTCATCCCTCCCAAATTAAAGATATGCATGCAGCGATGAGTATCACAAATTAATCTGAACAAAATTTTAAATTACAATCTCTTACTTTCGTCTGAAACTCAGTCTAATATATCTAAATTTATAAAAAAATATTCAATCATCTAAAACGATAACTTCACACTTTCGCTCATCTTCAATAAAGACAATGTCATCATCTTCACTTTCCACCTCTTCTTTACAATCCATAATATTAACCTCTGGATTTTCTATATGCTTAGCATTTCCATTAACTTGTAAATCACTATTCACAATGGTCTCATTCACTCTTATAACTGATGCATAGGTAGTTGATGTAACTTTTTCAAAAGCTCCACTAATTTCATTGAGTACCCTAGGCACCCCATCATCTTCACCATCATCATCATCTACATTATTTGTATCCTCATTGTTAGAACTGCTTTCTGTTTGTGCTGATTCACTGGTATCCTGAAGTGGATCCACAGAGGGTGTATCTTCAATTGGTACTGTAGATTTATCTGGAACTGGCACTATAGAATCTGTATCTTCAACTGGAACCCTAGAAGTAGTGTCAGACTCACTGGGCTCTTCAGTCTGACTTACACTTACAGCTTCAGCATCTTGAAAAAGGATATTTTAATAAATATAATTTATTAAGAATGTTAATTTGTAATATTTTATGTGGAAAGTGTTATTTAATGTTGAAAGATTATGGTAGTTAATAAAAAAGGTCTGAAGCTGTGATAGCACTCCTATTAACTAGAAAAAGAAAAATGGTAATAAGAATGGTGATTATTATTTAAACAATCCTACCTAAATTACATAAATTCATACTAACACTGCATCTGTCAACTATTATTCTAAAGCTAAAGAGATGAATTTTCATCACTATTGTTTTTTAAGTAATATTTTTTCCAAAAATAATTTTTTTATATAAAAATACATTTAAAACCCTAAATAAAGGGGGTCTGTTACCCCCTAAAAATACCGACAATTTTATTAGGCAAATTTATTGGACCACTTGTAATCAGAAAAATTATAAACATTGTCAAAAATGGCATTTTAAAATTAATAATTGATTTCAACAGTCCAAACAAGAATTATTGAATTTATTATGCCAAAGAAGGCAGCAGCACACCTATGGAATTTTGAGTTGAAACTTATGCTATATTTTAAGGAATTTTTATATCCTATTCAAACATTTTAGTTGATTCTAGGAGACTGTGATAATTTTTTAAAATTGGCCACTGATTTTAATGGGACTGGTGATTTTGAATGGGATTACAGGCATTTTGTACATATATTGCAGGAGTATTTCGCCCCTCAGTTCTTTAAGATTAAGGTTTTGAAAACCAAAGTGTTTACTAAATTTAGGAGTTTTATTTAAATTTTTTTCAACATTATTCATTATTTCTCTAATTTATAGAGAAAAAACCTCTTGATAATCAAGATGAGTATAATTTACAAATAAAATTATGACTCAATGAAAGAAAAACAATTACAATAAGCCTAGAGATTAATTATTAACATAAATACAAATACAGGGTGAAGAGAATTCAGTGCTATGTGATAAGTAGAATCTGATTGCAATAAGAAAAACACCACTATATCATGACCATTATTCCTAATTTCAAATTAACTATTAATAAATAAGGAAAAAATAAGTTGTTTGGTATAAAAAAATATCTCCTATATTCCTATAATATTTACATGTTACTAAACCCCCAGTAGCCAGCGATAGCCAATAAATTACTTTGCCAAATTATGACCTAGCTGTTCTTCTAATTGCAATGGGACCCTAGGTACCAATTACCTTATAAGGTTACATTAAATTGATAATTAACCAAGTAGAGCCATTTTAGAAGTAACATGTGCCTATTTATAGGTGAAAAGATGAGAGAAACTAATTTACAATGGCTTAGACATGACGAAGAAGATACATCTCATTGCAAAAGTGGTAGAAGTTGAGGTAGTTGAGATAAGAAATAAAGGTAAGCAGATAAATAATATCATAAATGAGATATAAGGAACTGAAATAGTATGACAGTGTCAAAAACAAAATAGTGGTAAATTATACTCAAGAGGTTAGTGTAGATTACTAATTTTATTTTATATAAATGGGGGATTTAATCTACAAGATATTCTAGGTAATTCATTAAAATATATGAGTGATAAACTCTCACAGAGCTTTTGAATATGGACTTTAAATTTTTTACTGTCTAAACATCTGTCAAAGTTTATTGAGCTCATAAATTTTAATGATCATTCTTGTAATAATGTTAATTTATAGTTGTTACCTTGAGATGACTCTTCTATTGCTGTTACAGCAACAGTACTATCCATTATTGTTGTAGATGAGCTATCAACTAATGTTTCAGGATTATCAACTTCTTTGATAGAATTTACAGGTTCTTCAAGATGCATAGAATTTACAGGTTCTTCAATATTGACAGAATGTACAGGTTCTTGGAGAGAGTTTTGTAGATGTTCTACATTATTTTCATTTTCAAACTCTGCACTAATTTGTTTATCTAAAATATAGTTAGAAAGACCGCTTAGTCCTGGGTAATCCAGATCATCATCTGGATTATAATCCACATCATTTTGATCTTCAAACTCATAATCATCAAAATCATCTAAAATACTGCTATCCACTTCTCCTGCAGGTCTAGTTTTCGGTTTTCTTGTCCTTTTTGGTTTGTATGGATGATAATCTTCATCATTTTCATTTTCCTGTATCTGGGGGGCAAGAAATTGAGGTTCATCTAATTCAATATCACTGTTTCTACGTTTTGGTTTTCTACCTCTTTTACCTTTAGGTTTCACAACAGGCGGTGGTTTTTGTCGTTTTCGTTCTACTACAGCTGCTCTTTCTGATGCAGGAAGAGGTTGTATTTTAATTTCTGTTTTTTGGATAACATTATCATAATCAATCCGATTTTTATTCATTACTATATCAGCTCTAATCATATCTTCGAAGTCGACTAGTTCTTCCTGCTCCTGTTCTTGTTCAGTTGCTGCTTCTTCCTCAGGTGGCTTAGCAGTGTCTACAGATTCACTTATATCCTCATTTTTCTCTGTACATTCCGTTTGATTTTCCGTTAAATTTGTTTGTTCTGTATTCTTAACTTCAAACTCTTCATCGTCCGATGGTTCTTTACGTGGAGGCACATCAAACATATCCTCTTCATATTCATAATCATCAGAATTAAAAGTTGGTTTCTTTCTTTGTCTCAAGCTATACTTTTTAGCTTGCGGTTTGTAAACGGGATCATCATCTTCAAAATCGGATTCCGTTTCGGGTTCATCTTCGCTATCAAAATATCTTTTGGCCCCTCTAGAGCGTTTCCTTACCATTTTGTTTATTTTTAGGAGATTTATCTATCAATTTTCGTTTGAGGTTAGGATAATTCTTGCGAGTATTGAATGATCAAACACAACCAATGGGCGTTGTTTGCTAATCGAAATCGAATAACGATTCGAATGATATTCGATTCTTAAGTCGTTGGTATTTTGAATTTTTAATAAAAAATGTGTTGAGCATATTTTTTTCCATACATTTTTAATTTTTTTCCATACATTTTTAACTTTTTTCCATACATTTTTAACTTTTTTCCATTGATTTAAGACTGACAAAATAAAATTAAAAAAAAAAATGAATGATAGAGAGTTTTAGGATAATGTACGTAAGATCTTCGATGCTAAATCGATTCTGAGTAACGAGGCAATATGGTTGTTTCCAAAACGACCCATTTTGAGCAATCTATATAAATATACATGTATATGATTGAACCTGTCAAAAAACGACAGGCCCACAGCGTTGCCATATCATAAGCTGTCATTACCCACGGACACTATTTTGATAGTTCGTTGTAGTAATCAAAGAAGTGATCGACATAATTTTTGAATTGTAGTAATGACAAAAAATGTAATATACTATTACAATTATTGTAATGAAAACAAACTTGACAACATGGTCCCTACCCTCTATTTCGTAAACCATATACCCCAAATTTCCAATTTATTATTGATTTATGTTTGTTGGCAACCGTGTATTGTTTAGAAATGAATGGCGACGTTTTTTTACAGTGTACTTACCATACATATTTTTAGGAATCCAAGTTTTTTCAAATAATTACAAGGATACAATTAAAAATTTGAATGAAACTTAATCTGAAAACATATTATGGATTTAGAAGATACAGTGGAAGTGAGTAATAATTTTTTATTATGTTTGTATTCATACATAAAAAAATAAACATAGGTGTATAAATTAAACAAAATTATTATTATTAAGAATTAAATATCCATGTTCTTAAATGTGGTCCGTATTTTTGTGTTTTCATCCAACTATCTGGAGGTGCGAATTTCGAAATTTTGGCACTAGTTTATTGAAGTAACTAACTTTTTATAATATTTTAAGTAAAATTAAGTATGGATAATTATTTTGTGTTCGATATTTTCATTTAGATTATAATTAAATGCAATATTTTGACCATTTAACCTAACTTTTATCATTATTTCTTTCTACGAAACATAAAACAAAATAATTTATGGATTTGCTCTATCGGTCCTTGAGTTTGCAACGTTGCCACGTTGAATTTAAAATCACTGCGTGTGATTAATTTTTTTTTCGAAAAATGCTGATTCATCCGTAAATTTTTTTACAAAAATGTACTATAGAAACTAGTGCCTTTTGAGTGTTTAATTTTTTTTTGTGAAATT